AAGGAAGGCAACAAAACCCACACCACTGAAGCTAGTTAACTAGAAAGATGGGGTGTGCAATCTTGGAGCATTAGTGAACCACTGAGTAACTAGTTCAAGAGCTGCTTTCTTTCAGACTTCTTGTTATGTAAAATAAGCAGCATTTTTTCCATAAGTCACATTTTGTTGAGAACCCTATTACTGGGAGCCAGAAAATCTCTTAACAGTTGGTATTAAAAGGTATATTTAGGGGATAGTTATGCCAGAACAAATGGTGCAAAAAACAGACATACCTTGGGGGTTAGTCAGTATATCCATGAAGAGGCCTGAATAACCTAAGAGTTGTATGGGCCACTGGATTCCGAACCTAAGGCTGTGTAAAAATTAGAGAAGTGAACTTTGTATACCTTCCTCTGTGGTAAAGTGCCAACTTTCACCTACAAGTATTTCTTTGCAAAGATGTAACAGTTGCCTCAATCTAAATCTAGAATGGAAAATATCAAATAGCATTTCTTAAAGTTGTAAGAAAATTTTAAAAATTAACTAACCAAATTAAAACCGCAGTGAGATAACATTGTACAATATTAGAATTGGTAAAATTAAAATTACTGACCAAATTTTTGTCCAGGATATGGAAAAAATTAGAACTCTAACATACTAGTGATAATATAAAATGGTACAGCCACTTTGGAAAATTGACAGTTAAAGATACATCTCCCATCCATTTGGGTTGCTGTAACAATATACCATAATATTGGATAGCTTAGATACATCAGTTTAGGAGGCTGGGAAGTCCTCCATCAAGGAGAGAGAGTCAATTTCAGAAGATGGCCTGCTTTCTCATTTATAAATGGTATATGTAGTGGAAGGGGCTAGGTGTTCTCCATGACTTAATTACCTCCTAATGGCCCTGCTTCCTAAGGTCATCCCATTGGTCACTAACTTTCAATCTTTGGTGAAGCACAAACATACACACCATAATGCCCACTAATTTATCCAGACATTTCATTTCTAAATGTTTAAACCCAGGATAAATTAAAACATTTGTCCATTCAAAGACTTATACATGTATTTCATAGTAGCTTTATCTGTAATACCAAAAAAAAAATGGAAGCAATACAAATGTTCCATGTTATGATTAAGATCTGGAAAGGCCCCCAAAGGCTCATGTGTTGAAGGTTTTGTTCCCAGTGCAGCAGTGTTCAAAAGTGGAGCTATTGGGAAATCCTTGGATTATGAGGGCTCTGACATCATCAGTGGATTCATTCATTCATGGATTCATAATTGTTGGCATTACTAGGAAGTGGTGGAAATTATAGGAGATGGGATCCAGTTGGAGAAAGTAAGTAACAAGAGGGTGTCCTTGAAGTATATATCTTGTTCCTGGTGCCTTCTTACCTTTCTCTGTCTGCATCCTAAATGCCATGAGATCAGCAGCCTTCTGTTTCCACCCTTCTTACCATGATGTTCTGTTTTACCCCAGGAAAACTCCAAATCCATGAATCAAAATGAATCTTTTTTCTTTTGTAAGTTATTTTTCTCAGATATTTTGTCCAAGTGATGAAAGCTAACTAACACATTCATCAAAGAGAAATGGATAAATAAAGCAACAAATCATGTTATATTATGGATTATTGCTCAGTGTTATGATCTAGATATTAGGTGTGAGACAATGCATGTAGGGTGTGACTAGAGGAGGTGGGTCAATGAGGCGTACCTTTGGGGTATATGTTTTGTCCTTGATGAGATGAGAACTCCCTCTTTCTGCTTCCTGGTGACCATTTCCTCTCCCACAATCTTCCATCTTGATGTTCTGCCTCACCTCAGGCCCAGAGAAATGGAGTCAGCTGTCTGTGGACTGATACCTCTGAAATCATGATCAACAGATAAACTTATCTCCTTTAAAATTGCTTTTTAGGTCTTTTGGTCACTGCAGGAAAAAAAAAAAAGCTGGCTAAAACACTCAGCAATTAAAAGAGTCAACTTGGGCTGGGATTGTAGCTTAGTGGTAGACACTTTCCTCCTAACACTGGTTTTGATCCTCAGCATCTCCTAAAAAATAATAAATAAAATAAAAGAATTGTTTCCATCTACAATTAAAAAATATTTTTAAAAAGAGTGAACTATTGATATATGCAGAAACTCAATTATGCTGAATGAATGTCTTTAAAAGCATGTGATGGATTATACAAAATTATATCAAATAAAACTAAATGTAGAGCACTTTTAGCACCCAGATCTTCATTTTAAAACCATTTTTCTATAAAATAAATCAAACTTCTTTGGACAGAAGTCTGTATCTATTACTCAGGTAATGTATTAATCAGCTTGTCATCAACTGTGACAAAATACTGAACCAATAATCTTAAAAGGAGAAAATGTTTATTTTGGTTCATGGTTGCAGCTTAAGGTTAGTTGTCTTCATTGTCTTGGGGCCTGTGGCAAAGCAAAACATCATGGTGAAAAGCATGTGGCTGAGCAAAGATGTTCCACCTCATGGTGGTCAGGAAGCAAAGAGGGAGAAGAGGTGTCTTGGATTCCATTATCCCCTTATAGGACATACACCTAAAGACCTACTACCACCAACTTGGCCCTACTTCCTATAGTTCCCACTACCTCTCAAAAGGACCATTAGCTGGAGAACAAGATTTAACATATGTACTTTTGAGGGACATTCAAGATGCAAACAATAACATTGACCTATGACCCTCATAGTCTCACATTGATCCCAAAATGCAAAACTCATTCAACTATCTCCAGGATTTCCTATTCTCATAACAGTTCCAGTGTAGCTCAAAAATCCAAGTTCAAAATCTCTTCTGAGACTTACAGCGTACTCTTAGCTGTGAGCGCCCCCCCTGCCCAGTAAAATAATACAGAGAGTTATAGTTTTCAAAGATACAATAAGGCAAGGTTAAACATTCCCATTTCAAAGGAGAGAAATAAATAGGAAAACAAGAAAAAAACTGGCTAAAGCAAGAACAAACCCCAGCAAAGCAAAAATATTAAACTCTGTAACTCCAATTCCTATATCCAGGTCACACAGTGACATGATATGAACTCCAAAGGGCTTGGGAAGCCCTCCCCCGTGGCCTTTCTAACTGCAGACCTCCTGTCCTCTCTCTTGGGTTGGCTGTGCTTGCTGCCTGCCTTGGCAGGCAGTCCTCATTCCTGGCGTCTACAATTTCCTGGGGGTATTCATTATAGCTTTGGCTTTACTCCTACAGCTTCATAATTCACTGTGTCAGGGGATGCTTGCAGAGGTCCTGACCCTGCCACATACTGCCTGGCCTCCTACTTTTCTTTGAAATATTGGTAGAGGCTTTCATGATCTCATAATTCTGTATACCTGCAAAAACAGCATCACACAGATGATGCCAAGGTCTGCCACCTGCTGGAGAAATAGTCAGGTCCACTTGCAGCATGACTGAAGCCACCTTTGAGTGCCTGTATGGCTGAACATAGGGGAAAGAATGCTGCGGAAACAATTCCCTATGTGGCCCTGCCTAAGCAGGGTGCTACCAAGTTCCCTTCTCAAAGCAAAGTCTTTGAAACAAGATTAGACTTTTGTACCCTTGAGCCTGTAATGGGTGGAGTCTTGCTAATTCCTGAGATGCTCTCAAAGCATCTTTCCTATTGAACCAGTGAAAAATAGTTTCTGTTTAATAACATTGATCTCTTCAGCAACCACACTCTCTTTGGCTGCAACTTTAAACATGCTCCTTTTCTGGCCAAACTGAAAGTTGTACAAATATTTTCATTCTACTATTTTTATTTATTTATTTTTATTTTATTTTTTACTTATTCTCACTGAATACCTGCTAAATGCAGCCAGTAATAGTTCTGCCACTGTCTGCATGCTGTGCTGCCTTGAAATGTCCTCCACTGGATTAATTAGTTTATCACTTTTAAACTCAAACTCCTACAAAGTCTCAGTATCAACAAAATATAGACAGGCTTTTTAAACTCTGTCAGAATGTAACATGAATGGCCTTTACTAAAAATACCAATAGAATTCACATTTCCATCTGAAACCTTTCCATTCCTATCATCACACTTGTCTTCTGAGCCTCCATCAGAATCACCCACTTAATTAAACTCCACTTACAGCATTATAACTTTTCTAGCTTGCTTCTCCAAACTTTTCCAAACTCCTCCCACAAACCAATTCCAAAGTCTTCTGAACCACAGTATCAGGTATAGTCACAACAATGACCTCATTTCTCAGTACCAATTTTCTATATTGGTTAGCTTTCCATCACTGTGACAAAATGCCTAAGGTGATCAACTTTAAAGTTAGAAGGATTCGTTTGGGCTTACAGTTTCAGAAGTTTCAGTTCATGGCTCCATTGTTCTGTGGCAAAGCATGGGGCAGAGCAAAGCTACTCACTTCACGGCACCCAGGAAGAAAAGTGCACATCACTAATGACCTAGTTCCTCCCAATGGGCCCCATCTCCTGAAGTTTCCACCACCTCTCAAAAACACCACTGGGTGGGAATGAAGCCTTCAACACATGAACTTCTGGTAGACATTTAAGGTTCAAACCATTATAGATACAAATAAGAACTCCCAATATTCTAAGCTGGAACAATTTGAGCAACAAAATGAATCCATAGTGGCATAAGTAAAAGACTGAATAAAGCAGTAAACAGGGAGAAAACATAAATCTTTCCTGCAGAATTCCAAATAAGTCTTGTAGTTTACTCCACCCCAGAGGAAAAGGCTACCTACTCCCCCACACTCTTTTAAGTGATTCATTGTGACTTCCTTTAAAGAGTACAGTATGGAAGGAGAGAAAATTAATAACTGCTGTGGAGTAACCTGACAAACACTGCTTCAGCCCAGTGATTAAGATCAATACTGACAGTCATAGATCACATTGACGGGATATATTGATAATATGGTATAATGAATATGGCACTTAAACTTTTTTATTTTCTTCTCCAAAACAAAGAACCACAGACTACTTACAGAGTCATTCTATAATACTTCTCGGGACTGTCAAGGTCATGAAATATAGAAAAAGTCCAAAAAAAAAAACCTTTTACAGCCAAAAAAAGGAGACTTGAGGACAATGAGATGTGATGTTCTGGATTGGATCCTGGAAAGGAAAATGGACCTTAAATTAAAACTAAGGAAATCTGAATATCCTACGGATGTAAATTAATTACAATTTACCAACATTAGTTCATTAATTATAACACATATGCTTTGTTAATACAGATGTCAATAACAGGAAACCCTGTGAAGATACTTGGGCACCTGGTACTATCGCTCAAATTTTTCAAAAAATCTAAAACTGTTCTAAAAGTTTATTAATAAAAAATCTGAAGTAAACACATCTTTAAGATGTGTTTAATATTATTTAAAATAATGTTTAGTAAATCAGATACGAATCTTTAAAACCTAATATATAGTAACAAAGCAGATTAGTGGTTGCTGGGGGAGTAACTGGGGTAGTAGAGAGAAGGGATGGAAAGAGCAATATGACAGGATTGAAAAGTGGCATGGGCAGGCATGGTGGTGCACACCTGCAATCCCAGCCATTGCAGTCATCGGGAATCCCAGGGACACCGGCAGCTGAGGCAGCAAGATCACAAGTTCCAGTTCTCCACAACATAGTGAGACCTGTTTCAAAAATAAATAAATAAATAAAAAGGCTAGGGATGTAGTTCTGTGTAGTAAAGCACCCTTGGGTTTAATCCCCAGTAGCACAAAATGAAAAGATAAACAAACAAATAGATAAATGGATAAACAAATAAAAAGTGACATGAGAACACTTTTGGAGGCAAAGGATATATTTATTTTCCTGTTCATGCTGAGAATTTACATCTAAAACTTTAAAAATTATACAGTTTAAATGTATGTATCTTATCACATGACAATTAGGCCTTAATAAAACTCCACTTTTAAAATTATAGGAAAAAATTCTTAAGTTTATATTTTCTTCTCCAAAACAAAAGTCATCCTCAGGAATATTTGGTGTTAGCCCCATATCACCTGAATCTAACTGATGGATTTTGTTTCATTCAAAGATTCATATACTTGTGGAGTTCCTGTATCAATAATTCCAATCACCCAGCACCAAATTTCATGGAATAATGGTGTATTAGTACATGTTGGGAATCTTTATTATTGTTTTCCCACTTGAAGATTTTCGTTCTTATGGAAACAACCTAGTTAAACAGTATGCTTGAGAGAACTTTTTTGTAACCAACCAAAATTAATCCAAATATAGTTTGTCAAATTAAAAATGAGGCCAAGTATTAATTTTATGGCAGTAACCTGGAAACCAAGACCCAAGCCATCTGGCATTCAAAGTTACATTCATAAGAAGGCTGTCATTTGATTGCTTGGGTTCAAATCTGGCTCTGTTACTTACTATTTTAATAATTTTGAAAACTCTGTACCTCAATTTTCACAATTATGTAATGGGATAGTAGTACCTATTTCCATGGGAAGTTGAAGGATTAAATAAGTTAACACATGTAAAGCGTTTAGAAGACTACATAGCAATTTTGTCTAGATTCTACTAATTCTACAGATTCTATGGCATTAGCTATCAAGGAAAAACAAACTAAAACCACAGTGTGATACCACTCCATGTACTGGTGGGGTTGCATAGGGATAATAAAACAGATGTGGAGCAGTTAAAATCCTCATAAACCGCAGGTGGTAATGTAAAATGTTTAGCACCATTGAAAAACAGTCTAGCRGTTCCTCAAAATGTTAAATGTAGGGTTATCATTTAACCCAGCCCAGCCATTCATGTCCTAAGTATATAACCAAGAGAAATGAAAACAGGTTTGCACAAAAACTTATACATGACTTTTCATAACAGCACTTTTCATGATAACCAAGAAGTGAAAACAACTAAAAAGTCCAACAACTTAAAAATGGATAAATAAAATGTAGTATATCTACAAAATGGAATATCAATTGACAACAACCAAGTTATGAAGTACTAATACATGTACAATATGGATAAATCTTGAAAACATACTTAATTAAATAAATCAGTAAAAAATATCACATATGGAATAATCTATTTGTATGAAATGTCCAAAATAGGCCAATCCATAGAGACAGAATGTAGATTAGTGGCTGCTAGGACATTTGGGGAGGCAGAATATGGGGGTAACTACTAAAGAGTGAGAATAATTTTTAGGGTTATATAAATGTTCTAAAACTGATGGTGGTAAAGAATATGTTTGTTAAAACACTGAATTGTACACTCTAAGTAGGTGAACTGTATGGTATCTAAATTATATCTCAATAAAGCATGCCAATTATTTTAAGATGGCTTGGAATGAAGAAAGTCTGAAAAAAAAACCCAGGAGTGTTCATAATAATAAATTAGATCATCTCTCCAGCCTTATCTACTTCCTTCCCACACTTAATTCATGCTCTATCTATTATGGCCCTGTTACATTAGCCGTATTATAGTTTCCTATTTGGTGCCTTGTTAACATCTAATATCTGCTTCCTGGACTTCTCTTTACCTAGATAATTTTTACTTATCTGAGTTAACTAATTTTTATTTAGAGTAACTAATCATTGGAACAATCAAGTCCAAAACGCAGTGGTTTTGATAAAGTTTTATTTATCGCTCAGGTAGCCCCTCCTCAAGTATTCTTACCTCTATCACCTTCATTCATCTTGGAATCTGGGAGTCATCCACTGTATTCTCTATACCTAAGTGGGAAAAACTTTGAGAAATTAGCATAGCTAGCACCTCCACATTCTCAAAGAAAGTTTCCAAATGATTAACTGATTTGAACAGGATATATTTAAGGTGATGTCAGGATGTTTAATGACCTTGGGTTTACCAGATATTGTTGGTTTATGACTCTGTATCTGAAGTATATATTGCAATACGATCTCCTCTTTCTACGGCATCTTCATGAATTTAAAGGTGATATATTTTAGTATAGAGGTGATATATTTTATTATTTATTTATTTTTGTGGTACTATGACTGAACCAAGGGAACTCTACCACTGAGCTATATTCTTAGCCCTTTTTACTTTTAGATAGGGTCTCACTAAATTGTGGAGGCTGGCATCAAACTTGCATTCCACCTGCCTCATCCTCCAAAGTAGCTGGGATTATAGGCATGCACCACCCTGCCAGACAGAGATCTATTTTTACAGTTTCAAAGATAATTATTTTTAAGAATAAGAATATTGAGGCAAGAAAGTACCATTCAACATCTCTACCATAGATCTCATAATGTAGTAGAGGAGTATCAGCTAAAACCAAAGAAAACTTTCCTTAAATTGATATTTATTAAAAACTGGAACACATTTCTTAGAACAACCCATATATGGCAATCAACATCTGAACTTCCTGAACAGGTAGAGAAAAGTTACTAATTATCTTCCACTCCCAAATTATGTTAATTCTTTACAAAACTTGAAATCCTGAAATGGTCCTCAAAATTTTATTTCTAACAGACTCTATCCGTTTTTCCAATTACATTGGCATAATTCTTAATTGGTGGTGCAAAATCTAATATGCTTATGAGGTTCCATCCCAAAGCACCTGCTATTCACGGAGGAATTCAATCTAGTGGGTGTAAATACCAACTTCATAGTTTCAAATCTATATTGGGTAGGGAGGGGCTTTGGGCGGGCTTCACTAGACCAAGGAGGCGTTGTTAGGAAGCCTTGGAGCCAGCCTACACCTGTCATTGGGTTAAAGCCTTGGTAGTAGTTGAGTGTGAGGATTCTGGTATGTGGATAGCATTCGCAATGAGAACTAGCTTCATTTGGCATTGAGTGGAATCTGCAACGAAAGGCGGCTCGTCCTCCCGCACCGCTGAGAACTGGGACAGCCTTAGAGAGGACAGTCATCTGCAGTAGGGAACCGGCAGAAGCATGTCTGAGATGAGCTGTACTGAAAAGTCTATGTATATAGCCCTGGAGTTTTAGAGAGAAGGGCAGTACAACGCAATCAGGGATAGTTGAAAGACAGAATCTTGTGTAATTGAATTGCTTTCTCAGCTGCAGCCTCTCCAGTGATGGACTTATGCGTTACTCTGCGTCTCCCGTCCAGGAACAGAAGTCAGAGAACTCTCTTGGAAAACTCTCCCAACTAGGAGACAAACTACCTTTTCCTGCTCTCCTCACTTGCTGCAGGAACGAAACGACCGCCACCCTTCCTCTGACTGACCACAGGATGGAAGGCCAGGGCAGGAGCTGACCAGCGCCGCCCCTCCAGACTCAGGAGGTGGAGATCCCCCTCACCCCAATCCAGCCAAATTGACACCCATTTTCTCCTCCCTCTGCCCCTATATTACCGACACCCCCTCCTCTTTCCCCTTTCCCTCCTCCCTAAAGACAGGGGTGGAGAAAAGGGGAGTTCAGGTCGTCATGACTGAGCTGAAGGCAAAGAATCCCCGGGCTCCCCACGCAGCGGGCTGCGCTCCCTCGCCCACCGAGGTCCAATCCCCCCTGCTGGGTCGTCCGGACGCTGGCCCGTTCCAGGGAACCCAGACCTCAGACACTTCGCCTGTAGTTTCGGCCATACCCATCTCCCTGGAAGGTCTGCTCTACCCTAGGTCGTGCCAGGGTCAGGATCCCCCAGACCGGAAGACGCTGGATCAGCAGTCGCAGTCAGAGGTGGAGGGCGCGTACTCGGGAGTTGAAGCCACAAGGGGTACAGGAAGCTGCAACTCTAGAGTCCCAGAAAAAGACAGCGGGCTGCTGGACAGTGTTTTGGACACGCTTCTGGCGCCCTCGGGGCCCGGGCAGAGCCAAGCCAGCCCTCCCACTTGCGAGGCCACCAGCCCTTGGTTTCTATTTGGCCCAGAACTCCCCGAGGACCCCCGTAGTGCCTCCGGTACAAAGGGGGTATTGGCCCCGCTCATGAACCGGCCTGAGAGCAAGTCTGGAGACTGCTCCTCTGGGACAGGAACAGTCCATAAGGTGCTGCCTAGGGGCCTGTCACCATCCCGGCAGTTGCTGCTCCCGACCTCTGGAAGTCCCCATTGGCCCGGGGCCTCAGTGAAGCCATCTCCGCAGCTAGCTGCTGCGGCGGAGGTGGTGGAGGAGGATGGCCCCGAGTCCGAGAGCTCCACCGGTCCACTTCTGAAGGGCAAACCTCGGGCTCTGGGAGGCACAGCGGCCGGAGGAGGAGTCGCACCCAGTGCGCCTGGAGCGGCTGCAGGAGGCGTCACCCTTGTTCCGAAGGAAGATTCCCGCTTTTCAGCGCCTAGAGTCGCCTTGGCAGAGCAAGATGCGCCGGTGACGCCCGGGCGCTCCCCGCTGGCCACCACAGTGGTGGATTTTATCCACGTGCCTATCCTGCCCCTCAACCATGCCATCCTGGCCGCCCGAACCCGGCAGCTGCTGGAAGGGGAGAGTTACGACAGCGGGGCCGCGGCTCCCAGTGCCTTTGCCCCGCCGCGGGACTCGCCCTCGGCCTCGTCCACTCCGGTTCCTTGCGGTGACTTCCCTGACTGCACATACCCGCCGGACTCCGAACCCAAAGATGACACATTCCCTCTCTATGGCGACTTCCAGCCTCCAGCCCTGAAGATCAAGGAGGAAGAGGAAGGCGCGGAGGCCGCCGTGCGATCCCCGCGTCGGTACCTAGTGGCCAGTGCCAACTCTGCCACCTTTCCGGATTTCCCACTGGCGCCGCCGCCGCGAGCTCCCTCATCCAAACCCGGGGAAGCCGCGGTGGTGAGCACATCCGCCAGTGCCACAGTCTCGTCGGCGTCCTCCTCGGGGTCGACCCTGGAGTGCATCCTGTATAAAGCAGAGGGCGCGCCGCCCCAGCAGGGCCCATTTGCTCCATTGCCCTGTAAGCCTCCAGCCGCTGGCGCCTGCCTACTCCCAAGAGAGGGCTTGCCCTCCACCTCCGCCTCTGCTACCGCCACCGGGCCTCCACCTGCGCTCTACCCTCCACTGAGCCTCAACGGGCTGCCGCAGCTCGGCTACCAGACCACTGTGCTTAAGGAAGGCCTGCCACAGGTCTACCCACCGTATCTCAACTACCTGAGGTGAGGACCTTGCGCTGGGTGCGCCTGGCATGTTCGCAAAGTAGCGCTCTTGGTGGCTTAACACTGTCAGCCTCCCTTCTGCAGCATAGGGCTCCCTTCCCCCTGGGTGGCCTGGGGGGGGGGTGGGCAACAGGGATCTGGCACAAGGGCAGTTTGTCTTACTCTTCTCATTACTCTTTTGGGGACACAAAGGGGCACAGAATATGCCATTTGGGGGGAAGAAGGACCATTACTGGCATTGTGTTTACTGGAGAAGAGCTAAGGCAGTTTCCCTGGGAGGGGTGGGACTTGAAGAGTGGCTGGCCAGAACCCAAAGCAGAAACACCTTAGGGATTTGTACACGTTAAAGGCTCAATTTTCATATGAATCTCAAAATGAAAATTAATTATAAGCGTAATGTTTTAATTGTGTATTTATATGTCAATCATTACAGTGCACAATACTCTAATAGTGTTTCGGATTCTCTACTATGTTTTCAAGAACATTTTTATTTATATACTGAAGGAAGGTAAAAGAAAAAGAATCCTTGGTTTGTAGACTTTCCTGCTGCAAATAAGCAAAACAGTGTGAATGTCTTGAACAATACTTGTGTCTATGTGTTCGCTGGCTCACACATGTATACACACACAGAGTTAAGTTTTCAAAACTTTAAGCAAAAGCATTGCTAAGTTCTGTTGAACTTAAAGTCAAACATGTTTATTGTTACACAGCATACAGGAAGGGTATAACATTTTATTTTGTCAGAAACTGAATTGCTCCTTATATAGAAAAGGAGTTCTGTAGAAAGATTTCTGTTTAACTAATAGAGTTTAGCTTTCCTAAACATAAATTGATACACTATCATTCTTTGAGGTTGGTACTACTGATGAATGGTCAATAATTTGCAAGTTTAGTGAATCTAATTATAGTGAGTCTATTATATCATGTTTAGTTTGCATGTCTTTCAAGTGTGTATAATGGTGTTATATTTTAAAATCCCCTTTAACCTCATCAATACTGGTTTTAAAAACACTTAGTATCAGATAGCAGTACACCAAAAAAATAAATGGAGTATTTTGTTTTGCATTTCAAGGCCAGATTCAGAAGCAAGCCAGAGCCCACAGTACAACTTTGAATCACTACCTCAGAAGATTTGTTTAATCTGTGGGGATGAAGCATCAGGTTGCCATTATGGTGTCCTTACCTGTGGGAGCTGCAAGGTCTTCTTTAAAAGGGCAATGGAAGGTAGGCTTCCTTTTCCTGATTCTTTATTATTGACTTAATTGTCAATGGAGACCATCTTTGTAATTATCCCTTGCTTCTAAGAAATAGTGATATTTTTATATAACTTAAAATATATGATGATATTTTAATAATACATTTTTACTATAATACTCAGTAGTGAATGTGATTGGATATTATAATTTCATACTCTTTGATTAACACTTTCAATAGAAGACATGAGTCATCATAATCTTGAGGCCAGTGCTACTATTGTTCAATAACTAGTTTTCAGGACAGCTTGGTTTTAATGGTGTTTTTAATACATCTACTGTATATGCAAAGCACTTTACAGTTTTTATTGACAATGGTTGTTGTTGAAATTATGTGTCTTTATATATGTGTGTATATTCAGGAATATATAGAATGTACATAATGCAATTCCAGATTAACACATATACATACATAGGTATACATACATATTGAATTTACAATCTATCTACATGATGTTGTCCTTGTATTACATGCATATTTGTGTACTGTGTATTTATGCATGTTTACATGGTCATCCCAAATAAAATTCAGTTCCCTTTCTGTTTAGTATATGTTTAATTGTGTAAGAGTATAGGAGCAAATTGTTTTGAACAAATGAAAACTTTGGACATCATTGTAATTTAATTTCTAAAGAAGTATTTTGCTTTTAATAAAAGCTACCCATTTAAAAATTATTTAAATTACATATTTATCAAATGATTTTGGATTTGCTTGAATAGTATATTTCAGACTTCATCTTTCATAGAAAACATTGTGAATTTCTCTTTCCACCTTCACTAAAATCTTTAGCAGTCAAACACATTCATGTTTGAAATAAAAATGTATTTAAAGATCATTCCGTGTTGTAATATATAGAATAAGTATAATTTATAACAAGTTGAGAGGACTACTAAGATCATATGAACAATGTTCAATGAATCAAAGTTTGAATGTCTGTTCTTTTGTTTACTGTTTCTGAAGTTTTCTGATTTAAAAGGCTTTTAATTATAGGCAGAAGGGAGTAGAAAATTTTCACTTAAGGAGACTTTAAGTGAAAATTTAAAGTTCTTCATAAAATTATTTACTTTGGTAATGCTCTATCCATGTACAAATATGCCACAATCAGTCATGTATGTCTATATGTGATTAAATGCAATAATAATAATGATAATAATAATAAAAGGGAGATCAGTAGAGTAGAGCAAGTACATCAGGGGAGGGAGAAGGGAAGGGAAAGGAAAGGTACTAGGGAATGAGACTGATCAAATGATGTGCATGTACAAGTATGACATAATGAATCCTCCTGTAAAATTAAAATTATGCACCAATTTAAAAAGTATTTGCTTTATATATTTTCAGAATGTATTTTTCATAAAAGATGAGTGCATTTAACTGATATTGAACATAATCAGCTTCAGGATAGTTTAATTGCATTTTAAATTAATTGAGACACTGTTAAAAGAGGGTGCTTGAAAGCACAGGCAAGTGAGAGTAAACTTAACTCTCCCGTGTATATGATATAGTCAGTTTCAGATGCAAGTTCTTTGTATGGAAAAGTTCATTCTCCAGTTGAGCAACCGGAGTTACTATTCCTAACTGACTATGGTATTGGTTGAATGAACATTCACTTGTAGATTATTATTTTTTTCATGCTTATAGTCTACTTAGAATAGTTTAATTTCATAATTGAATGACCCATTTAGGATTCTCCAAAGTCCAGTTTATTCTAGCCTACCTTCTGTTTATAGATAAGAAAATCTTAAAGACATAAATCTGAGATTTTGGAAATTTCGCAACTAGTTAGTAGCTGCTTCTTAGTTTAAAAATAGGTAAAGCACTTGTCTTGCATATGTGAGGCACTGGGTTCCAGTCTCAGCACCACATAATGATAAAGATACTGTGTGATCACCTACAACTAAAAAAAAAAAWTTTTWAAATAGGTTATTTTAAATTGCAGTGTCTATAAGTCCAAGATGCAAATAGGTGGTATATGCTACTTAATTCTTGGAATTTACTTCATAAAGTTCATGTATAGAATGAAGAGAATCCTTCATTGGATTGAAACACCCTTTGGGGGCCGTATTTAAATCATTCATCAGACTAGAGGAAAGTAATAATATTCTATGAGTAAATTGATTTACTTAGCAATTATTATAGACCTAAGGGGTATATATTTAAAGGTATACTTAGATTTATGCCAAAGGTACTCTTTAACTCCCTCTTCCTTAGATAAAATATGAAGATAACAATGGTGGATACTTTTTTAGGCTTGCTATAAATATTAAATGAGTTACTCCATATATGCTATTTAAAAGAATATCTAGCATGTTGTCAGCTTCTATTGGTGATGTTTCTACCTCCAATGAGTTTACAATAGAGTTCAGAAGGTAAAATATATGCATATGAGACATTTAAATTTTCTCATTAAATGCCCAGATAAGACTTGAAGAGCCATATTAGAGAATTGTATGAGTTAAAGGTTGAGAAGCTAAGTTGCTAATTGTTTGGATAAATTGGGAGAGATTTGGTGATTGAAGGCAAGGGAATAGAGAGAAGATTCTGGGATTTTTCAGGGATGACAAAGATGAGTAGAAGGGCTTTTACAGTTGGAAACAAATACCAGGTTTGAAATCTTAAAGGAGACAGAGTTGTGTGATGGGCTGGTTAAAAGTTGAGCCCTGTGTGGATGCCAGAATGGCTAGAAGTTGTAAGTCAGTGGGCAACAATTTGCATAATTGTATTACCAAGGATAATAATGATAATACTGCAATTATAAAATATTTTCTATGTGCCGGTGACTGTTTAATAGGTTTCAACTCATTTAATCCTAATAATATGTATTGCTATTATTATTCCTCCCACTTTACTAACGAGGACACTACACTGCCTTAATCACAAGAAGTGATACAATCAGGCTTCAAACCCAGGTGGTGTGACTCCAGATCTTTGCCGGCAATCACTATGCTTCCTCTCTCATAATAGGAAATGTGGTTGATGTTTGCCAAGAGATGAAACATTCAGAGAGATAAAAGTGAATCCTGAAGAATGCAATACCAGGGATAATTAGATCTGTGTGATACAAAGAGTGGATCACATTTACTTCATATTTAGGGCAGCAATGAGAAGACAGTCGGGGGCCCAGAGCCAGTTTCCCCACCTCTCTTCAAAGTCAGGAGTGGGAGCTGAGAGAGACTCACCCAGGAAAGCTGAGTTTAACTTGCTATGTATGACACCAAGAAGAGAGAAGAAACAGAGAAAAGATACCAGTCAGAAAAAGGGATATAGGCATGGGGAAAATGACCACTCTTATGCAAACTAAGTCTATTTAAAATATATTAGCCAAAACACAATTGTTGAAGAGTCAATTATATTCCTTCACCAAGACTTATAGGGGGGGAAGTGGTCAAGAATTATTGAGTGCCTTTCAAAGAAATGAAGTATAGTTCTATAAATGCCAGCTAGTGACCTGGTACTATGAAGTAAAGAACCATTTCCCACTTGTGCACTGCAACCAGCTTAGTAYCAGGAAAATACTAGGTATTCTAAAAATAACTGTTTTTCTACATGAAGCCATCATCCTAACTGATAATGACATGCTCTTATTATTTGGATACTATACTCTGTAACAGTATTTGTAGTGAATATATTTGAAGTAAAATGGTTATACAAATGTTGTAATATAGTTGAAATGTATTATTTAGAACACACAAGGCTATGTAGGCATTGATGGACCTTTAATTGTATTGAAATATTATCCTTATTCTTTATTCATGTATTAATTATTCACTAATTAGTTACCTTAATCACATTAGTTTGAGTATTCATTTATGGAGCATCCACAGTGTCCAGGCACAATGCTAGGTGCTGATCAAAGAAAAATAAAACAGTGTGGACTGTTCAGCACTGTCTGGCCCCTGCTCCAGCAGAGTTTGGAGAGTGGAGGGGAGAGGGGCCTTTTGACAATCTGAATACACATACCTAATTGCAGGTATGGGAAGGGTTAGGGTCTGTGTGGTTCTTGGACAACTAGAAAGTTGATCTCCTCTCAGAAACTGGGGATAACTTAGAAAGTCTTTAGAATGAGAGAGACATCATCATAAACAGCCACAGATGAAACTGGATAGAAATGAAATACTTTTAAGGATGCGGTTTTTCTTATACTATAGTTGAATATATTTGGTGTCAAGTTTTCTCATTGCCCTAAAAATAAACATATAGTAATTCTCTAAAATTCATTTCAAAACTTGCTAGCCAATTTCTTCTCAAACTGCAAGTCTCTCAGTTTAATATTTAACATGAATAAATAATTATACATTATAACCCACTGAAGCAAGCTTCTGTTATACTGAAAAAGTATTAGTTACAAACAGAACATTTGGCACCATCTGTTCAATATTTGATTATGTAGGGTTCCCAAATTATTTATTCTCCTTAAGAACTTGTATTTTAACATCCTGCAAGAACCAGAGGGATACAGTGGTAGCAGACATCCATGCTAATGCTAATAGCTGTTCTTGTTCTGGTCGTTGAGTCCCTTTAATTACTCAAGTAACACAGCAGTACATTCTTCTTTAAAAAATTAAAACATTACCAATAAGGCTATGTCCTCTGATCAATTCCACTAGTGTTTTCCCTTCCCTATGATTCTTCTCTACCTTCACGTCTCTTTTCATGTGTGTATGTAATGTGTTGTTTGAGGTGTGTTACGACATAGATAGTATCACATAATGTATGTCCTATTCTTCCCATTACTTTTTTCGTATGACTTGAAGCCCTGTATATGTTTAAATATGTGTGTGTGTGTTGTTCTAACTTGTTCTTTTAAACACTACCCAATACTTGATAGAATCAAAATCCTCTTATCCAGGCATTGCCTAGGTAACATTACATGAGTAAGTCCTTCTTGCACCTGACTCATTAGTGCATGACTTGTTCCTCTTTCCAGAATACATTTAGGTGTTTTGATATGGCTGTAAATGAACTAGGTGAAT